CATTGGCTGGGTTCCTCACTGAAGGAAAGGGAATGTGAGTAGAACTGGAAAACAATGGGAAAAGCTCATGGGCTGAATTCTACTTTCACTTAGGGTGCATCTATAGGGCACCCTTACCTCGAAATACACTTATTTTGATGTTATTTTTAAATAGCTTTTTTTGAAATTTGGCACTGTCTATGCAGTGCCCAATTTTGAAATGAGGCACTATTCCGAAACGTCCCTTGTTCCTCGTTACAGGGATGTCAGAATAATGAGCCCGTTATATTTCGATATAACGGGCTTGCTCTTAAGACGCAGAGTAGCTATTTCAGGATACCGTCTTTGAAATGCGCCCGTTATTTCGAAATATTTTTCAAAATAACAGGCGCGCTCTTCTGGCATCCCTGTAGCCCTTGTTCCATGAGGCTTAAGGGATGTTTTGAAATAACACGTTATTTTGAAATTTGGCACTGTGTAGACGCACTAAATTTCTAAATAAACTATTTTGAAATACAATCGAAATAAGATATGCAATTTCCATAGGGCAAATTGCATATCTTATTTCGAGTTTAGGGCACTATGTAGACACTCCATTAAAGGCACTTTTCTATCTGTACAGTGCCTAGTACAATGGGGCTGGGGTTGTTGACATTAGCCCAAGACAAATAACAGTTGCCACTCCAGAGTGATTGTGGTACCAACGTATTTTCATTAGTATGGAAGTTACTGCAGTGAATGCTATTGTGTAGAAAGTCACGCTTCTAAAGTCTACAGGAAACCACTATAGCTGGGGCAAGTATGTGCGTGCGGATATCTCCTGGGATATCCAAGTGCAGCATCTGTGGAAATTCTGTTGATATATCAGAGGGTTGATCTGACATTGTTACTGTTCACTGGAAATGCTCAAGAAGATGTGAAGGCTTCAGCACCTACGAATTAATTGTGATGTTAATCATGACGTTAATGTCTGTGACTTGAGTCATGGAACTCATGAGGAAGTGGCTTGTGGGCTCTTTTGGGACACCGACATTATTCCGACTGCCTCTCCTCTCCTGGTACGATTTGACAGTTGGCGCATGAGTAGGAACTGGCCTCCATCTTGCTGTCGATTTTGGGCGAGGTGGGTGGTGGGTCCATGCATTGACTATTCAGATTCGCTGGCTGCAGAGGCTTTCCGGAACATTAGAGAACAGAGTCTCTGCTTTTGTTCATTATGTTACATCTTTACCTTTGTCACAGAGAAGACCGCAGGAAGGCAAAGCTGAGAAGGAGGATGGGGAGGAGTCCGACACGGATGAGAAATGCACAATCTGCCTGTCTATGCTTGAAGACGGAGAAGACGTGAGGTATAATCTTCCCCACCGAGATTTCTGGCTCGTAGATGCCTCCTTCCTTACTCCCATTCATTTCCTGCTTGGTTTGGATTTTATTTTATTGGAAATCATTCACTGCTTCGTGTGTCTGTTTTTAAGACCAGGCCACCAGCGTTATTCTGACTACTCAGAGCTCCCTTTGGCTGTGTCTACACTGGGCCACTTATTCCAGAAAATCAGCCGCTTTTCCGGAATAAGCTGCGAGCTGTCTATACTGGCCCTTGAATTTCCGGAAAAGCA